CAGAGCCTTCTTCATTATTAGTAAGATTCTTCTCCTTTCTGCTGGCATTCTCTATCAGAATGGTTGGAATTGAGTCTCTCAAGGGCTTGTGCTTGTTTTACAAATATGTTTCAAGAGTCTCTTGGACTCAGGATCTTTTTGTTGATGTTCACTCATTTCAGTCATGTCTGACTTTGTGACCGCATTTGAGATTTTCTTGGCAAAGATACTGGAGTGGTTTGCCATTTCCTTCTCCATTTCATTTTACAGATGAGGAAACTGAGGCAAACAGGATTAAGTGATTTTCCCAGGGTTGCACAGCTAGTAAGTGTCTGAGGCTGAATTTGAATTCAGGAAGATGAATCTTTCTGACTTCAGGCCTGACACTCTATCAACTGTGCCACCTGACTGTCCAATAGCCTTGGCAATCAGATGGTATAGTGGAAAGGACATGGGAGCTGAGATTGGGGCACTTGGGATAAAATTCTGACTCTGCTACTTACTAACTATATGACCTTAGGCAAAATCAGTTTGCTTCCCTGGGCCTAATTTCCTCATCTGTAAAATATAGGTATTGGACTAGATGACATCTAAGGTCCCTTCCATCTCTAAATCTATGATCTAAAGTAACTCTTTTGCTTGAAAAACTTAGATTTAACAACTTCTAACAGTTACTCATACAGTACCTAATTCAGGTAGGGAAGACTCACACAAAAGAAAGATAAAGGGCTAAGATTCACAAGAAGACAAATATTCTCTCTCTCTGGGAGTCACAATCACGATTACACAGGACTTAGCAGCTGCAACATTCCAGAAGTCATGGAACATAATATTCCAGAAGTCAAAGGAGCTAGGACTACAACCAAGAATTACCCACCTGGCGAAATTAAGCATAATACTTCAAGGGAAAAAATGGTCATTCAATGAAATAGAAGGATTTCAGGCTTTCATAAGAAGATCAGAATTGAACAACAAAAAAAAATTGATCTCCAATATCAGAATTCAAGAGAAGCCTAAAAAAGGGAAAAAGGGAAAAGAAAACATAAGGGATTCAATGGAACTGAGCTGTTTACATCCATACATGGGAAAATGATACTTGTAATTCTTAAAAATTGTACCACTAATAGTACAGCTAGAAGGAATATACGTAGACAAAGGGTATGAGTATAAGGTGAATTTGAGGGAATGACATTAGAAAATAATTAAGGGATGAGAAAGATGAGTACACTGGGTACAGAAGGAATGGAGGGTTAGAATGGGTTAATTTATTTCACATGAAGAGGCATGAAAAACCTATTACAGTGGAGGGAAAGATGGGATAGTAGGCAATGGGTATTACTTGAACCTTACTCTCATCAGTATTGGCTCAAAGAAGGCATAGTATACACAATCAGTTGAATATAGAAATCTATCTTACCTGACAGGAAAGTAGGAGGGGAGGAGATTAAATAAAGGGGGAGGAGGAGGGAGACTGTGAGGTACTGTCTGATGTTGGCTACTGCCAAGTGAGGATTGTGGCAAGATGGGGTAGGAACTGGGTATTAGGAAGTAACCGGAGCTCACGCTCCCGAGGCAGGGGCTGTGCTAGGCGGAGTTGTGGTGAACTGTGATGGGAACTGGATACGGAGAAGTAAGCGGAGCTCACGCTCCTGAGGCAGTGGGCAGTGCTATGTGGAGCTGTGATAAGCTGGGGAAGGAACAGAATACAAGGAAGTAGCCAGAACACGTGCTCCTGAGGCAGGGGGCTGTGCCACGTGGGAGTGGGACGGCAGAGAACGAGTTCCTTTGTCTAGTCCTCTTCCCTAGGTGCAACGTTAACCCCAGACGTCTCCTTCCTGACTTCCTGGGTCACGTACTTGCCCTTTGTGTAGCACTGACCCCAGACGCCTCCTCCCGGTATCTGGGCCTGACTTCCTGGGTCACGTCCTCTCCCTAGGTACAGCTCTAACCTAGACGCCTCCTTCCTGTATCCGGTCCTAGCCTCCTGCGTCACTTCCTCTCCCTTGGTGCGCTAAACCCAGACATCCCCTTCCGGTATCTGATCCTACAATCAATGACTAGTAGGTGGGCTGAGGAGGAGAGGCTAAGTAGGTACTTAAGGAACAGTAGAGCTCGGAGCTCACTCTCTCTTTTGCTCCTGCTCTCTTGCTCTGGCCTTCCTGCTTGGCTTTGCTGTGATGGCCTCTGAATAAAGCTCGAGTGTTGGCACTTCCTGATCGGCTTGTCTCTGTGTGTTTATCTGGGTGGGCACTGAAGACTGGTAAGTAGTATGACTCTGGCAGCCTGCTCCTTATAGGAGGAGAGTGCACGGCGCGGCCGGCACACCCACTGGGCTCAAGGGCCTCTATGCATACCTCCCAGAGGGTGACATGCCAGCTTGCCCAACAATGCTGGTTATATGACGGTTGGTGAGATCTTGCATACACTGAAGAAACTTTGGGTGACCAGGGGTGGGGCTAGGGCTTTCAAAGGAAGATGAGGAGTTGGGGCCCATGGACTGATGGGAGCCAGATTCTTTCTGAGGAAAGGGGTGAAGGTCTCGGCTTGGATCCATCCCCTATCGTTAGGGGATAATTAGACCAGGACACTGTGGAACTAGGATATTATTCTGTGACTAAGTTAATACTTAGTTAATGGTAAAGTTGTCTCAGTTTGTTACAATTAATGTTAAAGAGGAATAACTTATGGCTTATCTTGTAAATGCCTTGAAAAAAGCATCTATTTTAATTAAGGATTTTTTATTTGTACATGACTAGAAGTTGGGAGTGTTTTGTTATTTGATATGCAGTGGTTTTAAATTAACTACTATGGATTGGAGTCTGTTACTAATTCCTTAATGGAATCTCATCTTCCTGATGGGGAATATAAATAGGAATGAATAGTCAACTAATGCAAGGTATAAAACTCGAAGTAATGCAGAGTGTAAGGCTAGGTTCTAATTTTTTTTAATTTGAGTTTTTTGAAACATGACAATTGGACAAAGTTTCCATTTTGATCTTGTAATGGTGAAGACATAGGGGTTGAGTTGATTTTCATTATTTGCCTTAGTTATTAGCAAGGTAATTTAAAATAGTGTTGAGATCAATCTTGTAGGAGAGTAGACACAAGAAGGAGGATCTCTGCAGGAGGAGAGTCTGCTGGACACTGTTTGAACAGCACTTAGACAAAAAAGAAGACTTCACCAGATGATGTCCAGAGTGTCAGCTGTATGAGAAGAGACTTCTGAAGCTTTAAATGGACAATTTATTGTTCCTTTTGGGTCTCTGTATCTGCACTTAATAAGGGAACTGGCCCCTTTTTACTTTGTCAATGAGTCAGTCAACTCCTCCCTTCCTTCTCCCATATTAAGTCCCCAAAATTCCATTGAAAAGTACCTCAGTGGGACCGGTTCTGGGAATTCAGGTAACAGGAGTTAGGATGATGATTGAGCAAGTTAATGACCATTCCTCCCCCTCTGATGAAGAATTCGAACTAACGTTAAAACGCTTTGAGGAAAGAACAAAAAGTGTGGAAATATAATTCTTATTGAGAAAAAGAGGAGGGAATTGTGAGAGTCATATTTCCATAGAGAAGGAGAATAATGCGGAGATTCAAAGAACTATTCCAGGAAGCAGTACACTGTAGGTGGGTGAGGGCTCAAGCAATAAGAAGTAAGTTGATGGCTCTAAAAAGACTCCAAATTCAAGATAAGGGTCGAGCCAGCTCAGACCAGTTAGGGTCAACCTGAGGACACCTGAAAAATGTTAGTGCGCCTGCTTAATGAACTTCATTACTATTATCTGCCACACCCCGAATAAAATGAGAGCCTCATTAACAAGTCATGGGATGTATGACCTCGGGAGGGGGAACATACTTGAGCATATCAAGGGGAAACATGTAAGGAGGGGTGTAACCCGGGAAGGAATGGACCAATCTGGGCCTGGGAGGTTTCACGCCAAATCTGAATGTATAAAAGCATGCTTGCCCTTGTGCTCAGGGCCTATCCCTCCCTAAGAGGGGTGGAGCCTGCTTCTGGCCAGAAAGGTCTAATCCTCTGGACTTTCTCTGTAATAAACTTTCTTGATACTAAATTTTAGGTGTCAAGCATATTTCTAACACACAACTTGTTCAGCCATTCCCCAACTGATGGGTATCCCCTAAATTTCCAATTCTTTACCACCACAAGAAGAGCAGTTATGAATATTTTTGTACATGTGGGTCTTTTCTCCATTTTTATGATCTCTTTGGGATACAGACCTAGTAGTGGTATTGCGGTATCAAGGGGTATGAACAATTTTATAGCCCTTTGGGCATAGTTTCAAATTGCTGAGGAGATCAATTTCCAAGAATACAATTGTATCACCCTCTAGAAATTATTTTTCAAATTACAGCATTTTATACAATGGTTTCCCAAACATTCCAACAGGAGAAAAATCAGAAGCATAATAACATAAACAATGTTATAGATTTAAAACATGAAAAATTGCTAAATGACATCAATTCAGTTCATTTGTGAATTATCTTACATAAAAATTCACTTCATTCATCTCTCAATTTGACACTCTAGACTGCATTCAGAGTAGAATTGAGTAATTCTGACCCAATTACCTTCAATTCTTATTCTTACAGTTCCTCGTCACATTGCCTCAATGCTGAATTTTAAGTGTATTTACCCTTAAGGTCTGATATTTTTGCAGAGGGTCAAACATCACAATTACAAAGGGAGAACTGGATTTCTCACTGGGAGAAACTCAGTCTGATCCAATCTGGATTTACAGTTGCAAATGGTATATAGATCCTAATTTTCCTGAGAGCCATTTGCTACCAGCTCCTCAAAGTGTAGAGTCCATCACTTTCACTTAGTCTGGGGCTGCAGTTGGATCAAGGCAGTGTTTCTGCTCAGAAGGAGGAGGGGGTGAGTCTGGGAGGGAGGGAGGTGGGGGAGGCACTGGGGGGGAGGAGCTCTCAGAGATGACCAGCCTGGTGGGTGGGTGGCCTAGGTGGAGTTGGAGCACTGGGGTGGAGTTTGGAGGCTGGGAGGAGTTTAGGGGGAAGAGGGGATCATTGCATTGGAGAAGGCTTTCCACGTGATGGAGGGGTGGGCTTGGGAAGGAGAGGCAGTCAGGGTCCTTGAGTTCTGGCCCTGGGTGTGATTGGAGGAAAGGGCTCAGCCATCCTGGGGGCCTCAAGGGTTGGACCGGGTGGTGTCCTTGGGACTAGGAGGATCAGAGTGGGCTGGTGGGAAACAGGAAGTCTTTGAGCTGAGACTGCTCTGCCTTCCCTGGAGCTCAGATTCTCTCCTCTTTCCTTTTGACCTGAGTTCTCTCTGCCTTCCCTGGGACCTAAGATCACTCTGCCTTCCAGAAGCCCACTCTGTGCATGCAGATCCCAGGTAGGTCTGAGCCAGTGTTCCCACTTACATCCTGACCTTTGTTTGCTGTCCTTGCCATTGGGTCTCATTCCCCAGGTCTGCCAGAAGCATGCCTCCCAGGCCTGGCTACCGGACCAGCTCCCTGCCCCCAAAACTTTTCCAGACTCCCAATCACTTCCTAAACATCCTGGCTGATCTTCCCCCTCCCCCCAGCCCCCCCGCCCGAGATTTCTCATTGGGTCACACTTTCCCAAACTTCAGATTTTGCCCATAAGAATCCTGCCTTCACTCCCAGTCCCTGTAAGTATCCACAAGTCCTACCTCCTGCCTCAAGCCCCACCTTGGAGGCAGGAACCAAAGCTCTTTCCTGATCCCCCTTATCTGAATCTGTGCCTCTTGGGCTGGTTCCCTATCAGATCCCAGCCATTTGGCTCCCTGGAGGGATTCCAAACCTAAGCTATACCAGAGGGTCCTGGACATCCTCCCCAGATCCTAGCTAGACCTCAGGACACAGTCATCCTTACCTGCCCAAGCTTAATGTCCATTTGGAACACTTCTTCCAATCAAGTGTCCCTGACCTCCCTGTCATGAGCATTTAGGGTTAAAGTTGGAGGCATTTAGGGTCAGGGTTAGACTGTCCTGCCTCCCAGATCCCACCCCTGCTCCCCTGCCCCAGGCCTCCTGCTCCCCCAGCCCCACATCTTTAAGAGCTCTCAGGTCCCACACAGGTGGCTGGATCCCAGCCTGGGTTTTGTCTCCCAGTCTCGGGCTTTCCTTGGCTGCTCCATTCCAGAGCCCTCCCCTTCCTCAACCTTCCCTAACTTCCCTCCCTGCTAGATCTAGCAGTCAGTCTATTGTTTAAATAATGTGTGTTAATTGAGGAGAGGGGATGCAGGGAGGGCAGAGGATCAGTTCCAGGGAGAGCTCTGTCTCAGGGGTCATTGAGACTCTGACTGGTCTCATCCTGTCTGGGATCTCAAGCTTCATCTTCCTCTGAGGGCTCTGTAGGAGGATGGGGGAAAAGAGGGGTACAGAAGAGAAGTGAGAGGAGGGAAGTAGTTTTCCTTTTGAGATCGGCTTCATTTCCTCCCCTGACCCTCCCTGCTGCTTCCCTCCCTCTACAGGTTGGAGTCCTTTCCCTGAGGGCAAGGCCTGGGTCTTCCTAACTCCTATGGGACCTTGCCCTCTGTAAATTCCAGATGGGCAGCCTCCTGCCTATGAAGAGAGGAGAAAGAGATCTTCTCTGGGATCCGTCTCCCTCCCCAGCTCAGTCTGCAGAGGAACAAAACCTACCCCAAGAAGGTATTGGGTCAAATCCAGACACTAAAGCTGGAGGGAAGTTAGAAGTTTTATTACGAGGCCCAACAAACAGCAAACGCCTGTAGTATGAGCACCAAGGCAGTCAGCCTAGCATTAAGATTACAGGTGGGTCAGATGGGCTTTCTGTGCAGAAGGAAAGAAGGAAAGGACTTTCCAGGTGGCTCCAGGCTGTCTCATGGTCATCAGAAAGGCATAGAATTAGAACATCCCATGATTACTTGGGACATCGGTTAGTGAGAGTGTTGGCTGCTGCTCTATTGGTGGGGCCATAAAGGGTGGGGGAAGCAGATGCCTGGGGTAGATAAGGTCCAGGGATAAGATGAAGGGACTTTACAAAATGGAGTCACTTTGGTTACTTTGCTACCTACACAGGGAGCCTGGGTTGAGAGAGAATGGCTCCTGGGAGCAGCCAAGCCCCAGCCCAGGTGAGTGCAGTCTATCCACAGACTTGGCCAACATCAGCAATCCAGTCATTTCCATAGACATAGAGGATGGTCTATGAAACTGGCAATGCCTGCTTTAGGGATCATTTCTGTACAAAAATAGGCATGAAATTGAATGCAGTGGTAACAACACTACCCTGCTCTTTTCCATGTTTTAAACTGATTCATTGGGTCCTTGATATATTGAGCACTGCTCCCCACCATGCTGCCCTCCCCTGTTTGTTTTTAAGTTCTCCCTCATTATAGCTGTCTAACAAGGGTGACCACTTCACTCACTAGTTTCTTTTACCAAGGGATCATATTTTTGCTTTCTTAATGGCTGCCTAGTATCGTACACACACACACACACACACACACACACACACACTTTCCCCCCTCTTCTTTGTTTGTTGTGGCCAAGCTCTCCCATGCAGCAACTGAAGTTCCCCCCAGGAAAAGTCTTCACCCTGAATCTTGTCTGGACAGACCTGGAGCAGAGCCCTGAAGGCTCCCCCAGCTATTGTTTTTTAATGTGCTATCATCAGAGCAGAAATTGTGCTGTGCTGTTCATGGTCCCCCTACCTCAGGTCACACACGACTTCTCAGATCCCTCTGAACCCCTGTCTGTTAACAGTTCTCAGGTCAACTCAGTGAGCATTCAGAAAGGCCCTAGATGTTGTCAAGGTATTTAGAAACACCCTATTTCCCAGAGCTAAGACCCAGCAAACATGCTGTGCCCTGAGCTTGGCATAACAGCAATCCTTTGCACCCTGTATGATCTTATCCTCCAGCAACATGTGTTGCTTGGACCAGCACCAGGTGTTTACCGAGGGATTTATGATTTTCATATTAATAAATGACTGTTTAGATTTGTTGGAGCTCCTCCTATTTCTCAGGGACCTGGGAGCCAATGTTCTGCAGCCTAAAGCCATCCATCATATCTATTGACATGCCCACAATCCCTATTTCTTGTAACTGCCAAGTAAACTGAAGGAGGCACTGCATCCCTATTCCTGCCATGATAACTCTAGTTCTGTACCCTGCTGAATAATCAAAAGGTGTGACAACCCTTAGGACTTGAGAGGCTGTTCCCATGAGACAGATCCAAGCCAAGAAATGCCAACCATGGGAACTGCTTAGTCAAGACCTAAGAATGATTGTGTTGTGATCCAACTTCTGGCATGTATATAAACCTTGTCTGTATCCCAGCATGTTGAGCCATCCTTCTCAAGGTGTGGGGGTGAGTAGGAGACTTCTGCTTGCAAGCATTTTCCTCACTCTCTAATTAAATCACTACTTGATTTCTGACACACCGGCCTCTGGCTTCCTTGTTTGGCTTCAGTTTCCCAGGTTAGAGACTGGTCCAATCTGGACCACATTTAAAATTCCATTGACAATATCCAAGCCCAAGATTTCTTGTACAGACTGCTCTGGGGCCATCTTGCTGCTCCTGTGTTTCTAAGACCTACCCTGGCACAGTGATTGAATGACAGATGACTTCTCTACTGTGTAAAAGAGGCTTCTGGGAGTCTCATCCTTGCCTCTGTTGGTCCTGGGCACCAGGATTAGCTTCACCACCTACCATATTACTATACATATTGGTTTCCTGGTGGTATAATTTGTTCTGCTCTATGCAGAGTATCCCATGCACTGGCAGAGACCATGAGAGCAAAAAGGAGAAAAGGAAGGATGGACAGAGTCAAGTTAGTGTGTCAAGGTACCTCAGACAATTTCTTGGAAATTTTTACTCTTCTATGGGTTAGAGAAGGTCCTAGATTGACCTGGGAAAGGAACGGATGGAACTGACTCAAGTCAATACTCAGTTTAGATGTTAAACAAAAATCAAACATTCTTAGGTCATTCAACAAATAAAAGGAGTTGTATTTAAGTACAGTATAAAAAGGACATTCAATAGGGATATGAGAGTTTTTTAGCTTGAGTAGACAAAGATCTCCTTACCTCCATGTGGGAGCTCATCTAGTCAGCAAAGCAAGGTGTGACAGTGTGCCATTTGGGGAAATCTGTCATATAGGAAGGACCCTGATTTCACATGGGTAGACTTTTATGCCTTTAGTTTACCAGGCAGCCGTACTAGTTTGTCCAGAGACCCTCAGAATACTACTTGAAGGGAGGCACATGGAGCCTTTGCCCACTATGTAAGTCAGGTCCTTGGGAGAGCTTTGTCACCTTTCAGGGAAAGAAAAAATAAAACTGGCCTAACCAGGTGATAGGAGAAGGACAGAACTCCAGGAGACAGTGGCCCTTTCACAAGTAGGGATTGTGCTACCTTTGACAGCCATCAGGTGAATGGTCAGTCTGATTTCAAGACTACCTGAAGGAAGAAAACCAGCATTTATTATCAACCACCTAGTAAGTGCCAGGCACTGAGTTAAGCACCTTACCAATGTCTCATGTGATCCTCACAACTAGCACTGGAAGGTAGGTATCATTATCCTCATCTTATTTTTACTTATATATTCAGAAATATTTGGAGGAAAATATTTTTTACTTTATTTTTTAAATACAAATTTTTTTACAGCATAAATTAGCCTTCTCTTCCTTCCCTTTCTACCACCCCACCCCATTAAGAAAGCAAGAAAACCTAACCCCTATTACAAGAATATATGTAGTCAAGCTAAACAAAATTTCTCATGGATTATATCTAAAGAAAATTATATCAACTGGCACTCTGAGTATCACCTCTCTATCAAGAGGTTGGCAATATGTCATCATGAGTCCTCAGGAATTGCTTGATCATTTCATTGATCAGAGTTCCAGTGTGTGTATACACACATATATATATGAATATACACATTTGTATTAGCCAAGATCAACCTTCTAATCCTCCCACCTGTTCTCTCCCCCACATTAAGAACATAAGAAAAACAAAACCCATTACACACAATGTATAGTCAATCTGAAAAAAAAAAACACAGTTCCTATGTCCTAAAAAATATTTCTCATTCTGTATCTGACTCCTTCACCTCTAAGTGGTAGGCAGAATGTTTCTTTATCCTTGGCCCTCTGGAGTCTTCGTTGGTCACTATGCTAATTCATGTTCAATGCAGTAGTATTCTATTACATTTATGAACTTTACTTATTCATCCATACTCCATTTATGAATAATCCCTCAGATTTCCTTTTTTTGCCACCTCAAAAAGATTTAGAAATAATCTTATACATCCTTCGAATTTATTTTGCTTAGGCCTACTCCCTCAGTGTATCCTCATTCTAATTCCCCCTCTCCTTTCTTTCCTTTCCCTCCTTTTCACTAGTTAGTAAAATATATTTCTGTACCTAGCTCTGTGTTATATGCATTCTTCCTTCCTTTGACTAGAGGACTAAGTTTTAGGCATCAGATGCTCCCAGCCACTCCCTTCTCCTTGTTTGTATAGATGTGTACTTGTGCCCCATGAGATAATATTACATGAGATATACATGAGATTACATGAGATAATATTTCCTAACCCTCCTTTCCATCCACCCACCTTAGTGTATCCCTCTTCCTCTCTTTCCATCTTTTCCTTAAGATCAAGACATAACAGAACCTCTCCAAGGTCTTCTCTAATTTGATTCCCTCTATGAGCCCTGAGAGAGATCAGAGGGGACACATATCACCTCCCCATATTTGAATATAAGTAGTTTATCTTTTTTTTTTTACTCCCATAGGCTAGTTCATCTTTCTTTTCTTATTTATGTTTCTCTTCACTTGTGTTTGAACTTCAAAAGTTCTCTGCAGTTATGATCTTTTCATCAAGAATGCTTGGAAGTCCTTTCTTTGAGGGTTACGTCCCCCCTATATCATTACACTCAGTTTTGTTGGGTAAATTACTCTTGGCTATAAGACCATGTTCTTTACCTTCTGGAGTAATCTATTCCAAGCTCTGCGCTCTTTAATGATAGTTATTGCCAAATTCTGTGTGATCCTAACTGTGGCTCCTTGGTACTTCAATTATTTCTTTCTGGATGCTTGCTGCATTTTCCTTATTCAACTGGAAGTTCCATGTTTTGATTACCATGTTTCTGGAAGTTTTCATTCAGAGATTTCTTTTGGGAAGTAATCTGTGATTTATTTTGACATTGTGCTCTGGTTGTAAGACATCTGTGCAGTTTTAAGGTTTCTTGAAATCTTATGTCCAGGTTCCTTTTTTTATGGCATTCAGATAGTCCAATGTTATTTAAATTTTGCCTTGCTCTGTTTTCTCTGTAAGTTGTTTTTACTATGATATACCTTACATTTTCTTCTGGTTTTTTTTTTTTTACCTCTTGAATTTGTTTTAATATTTGTTATTGCCTTGTGACTTCTATTTGGTCTATATGGCCAAGGTTTTGTACCCTTGTGCCAAGCCGTTAACTCATTGATTCTTTCTTCCATGTCACTCATTTCTTTTCCATTTATTTTTCTCCAGAGGTGGCCAACACAGAAGTGGGGCTTACATGATTATACAGGTGGACAGCAGGGCCTTGGTTTTTCATTTATTTTCAGTGAGGGTGGAGGTGAGAGGAAAGAAAAGAAGGGGGATTTTTTTCTAATGGAAAAAAACCTATTTATTATCCATGGGACAGTGCCTTTTTCCTTCCCATTTTCCTCAAGGCTTTAGGGAAGATCATTTGGTTTTGTCTCTAGAATTGGGAGCCAAGAACTAGACACATCGAGAAAAGGTAGCTTCAGAACTACACAAAACCATAACCCCTGAAGCCCAGCAAAAAGCTACATCCCAGAGGACCCTCCTAGAGACTGGGGAAAAGAGAAGAGAATTTTGATTCATCCAGCAGCTTTGAATGACCCATTGACCATGTGAGGTCTAAGCATGGGCCCTCTTTCCCCTGGACTCTGAATGTCCTTGTGGTCCAGTGTCTCAGACTCCTTTGGGGTTGGTTGTGTATTCTGGTCCTTGCTATATTTTTATAGTAAACAACTTTCAAAAATAAAATAGGAATAACCTCTCAAATGGAGATGATAGCACCTACCTCCCAGAGTTCTTGTGATGCTAAAAATGAGA